AATAACATGGGACTTGCCACACCAGGAAACGTTGACATATGTGGCAATACCCCCTCCTGTCTTTTTTCCTCCGGTTTCACGATCCTTTAGGTAAACTTGAAAACCGTCTATTGACACTAGAGTGTCATCTACATCCTTATTCAACCATGATTGTTGAACACAGTCTGCACACGTGCTCGTATGAATTCTGGATCGGAGAACACTAGTTAAATCCGACATTTTGGGAAACAGGGACCGAGTGTTAGTGCTGACCAATGAGGGGACAGTCATCTTTGACAGAGAGGTGCAATTAAGAGCAACCTGCCATCCTGCACGCTTGCGTTTTTTGGTCCAGCCTGGACATTGAGAAACTGGAGTCGCACAAACCGCTAATCCATCGAAGCATGTCGTGGCACGTTTGAAACCAATTATATCATCCCGTGACTAACGATGACGCATGATAGTGCATGAAAATGTAAAAATTCCCAGTGTGACGGAGAGCGTGTAAGTGTAGCGCAACCAGTCGAAGGGCGCACCTTGCATTTTTAAGGCACTAGGGAGTACATCCTACCGAGTCCACTAAATTACAATGTAGTTGAGCGACTCATGTATTATCAAAAGCTGGGCACCGAATCCGTAAGCAAAATATCCACCTTCAACTTATGATAGATATAATTAGTCGATTGTGTTTGGTTTACAAAAAAATTGCGGTAGTGGGTGGATGTTAATAGGGGTGTGGTACATGAGGGATAAGGACAGAGTCAAGGTTAACCATCACCTGCTTGGGGCACAGGATCAATCGAAAGGGTCAAGGGGTCATGGAACTGGTCAGATCTAATCATGCGATTGTGTCCACTGCGTGGCCATGATAATTGGATTGCTTTAACAAATCTCTTTTGGGAACAAAGTGATGGGTTGAACAGACGGATAGCCACTGCCTCAGCTGTTGCTAAATGTTTTTGACGAACAGCGTTTGACGGAAAAGGAGGCACCCGGTAGATCACCTTGAAAGCATCTTCATTCACAGTATGCCTAGTATTTGCTAGATGTTCAACAATCGCACTTGAGATTGTTTTTCTGACCCCGGTAGCCACTCAAGTTGGTTTGTGTTCCTTGATCCTCTTGGTGAACTGCCTGATGGTTTTACCTGCGTAGCTTGCCGAACATGAACAAACGAATGAGTAGGTAATCATAAAGAACGTAGAAATAGTCAATTTATCTTTGAGGTTTGTGGAAATAATCGGCTGATTGGTTAACTGGGGGCGTAAACGTGCCACCGGAAATGTGCTAGTGCTAGTTCTTTCCAAGCGCCGGGTGATTAGCTCACTTTTGTAATCTCCTTTGAATGGGAGTCGTAGGTATAAGTCATTCTTATTCACTGCTGCTGGAGGTCTTTTGGGTGTTTCGGATAGGTTTTTCTGAATGAACCGTTCCGGGTACCCATTAGATATGAGTGTTTGTTTTATATTCTCCAATTATTGTTCTAAGCCGTCTTCTGTGTAAATGTTTCTTGCACGGGATGCGAGGGAACAGATAAGGTTTCGTTTCCATTTCAGTGGTACGAAGCTTGCGAAGTGGATATATTTCCCAGTCCATGCTGGCTTGCGATAAACACTTCTGTTCAGATAACCATCACTACGTCGCGTGAGATTCACATTGAGAAAATGGAATGTATCTTTTGATTCGGCATCTGATGTAAAACTAATAACTGCATGCGCCTCATTGAATTTGCTCTATAGCATTTCCAAGGAGGTTTTCTCATATGTCAATAAGAAGGTATCATCTACATACCGATAATAAACAGACAGACTGTCCATGGTTGTTCTGAGCTCATGGTTTTCCTGCTTGGCCATAAAGATATCAGCCATTAGGAGTCCCAGTGGAGAACCCATGTCTAGTCCGTCATTCTGACGATAGATGAAAGTGAACGTGCAACGGAGTAGCACTTACCTCATGTTAGTCAGTAGAATAGGAATGTTGATATCGTTTTCCACCAAGTAATCGCACAGGTATGAAATCGTCTCCAAAAGTGGCACATTAGTGAATAACGAAGTAACATCTAAAGAGGCCATTTATGTTCTCTCTCAAAAGCTCTACGAACTGAAACGTGGCTTTTAGACTGAAACGTGGAATGCGTCGACGGACCGGCTCTAGTTTATCTACAAGCCATCTGGCAACTGAGTGGTATGGTGAGGCACTGATGTCAAGTATTGGTCTCAAGGGTCTACCTGGTTTATGTACTTTAGGTACCCCCACTACCGCAATTATTTTGTAAACCGCACACAACTGATTAATTGTATCCAATAAACTTATGGGTTGAACGCAATCAAAGCGTACTGATTTCATAAAAACCTAGGTCATTTTGTGAAGTTAAAAAGAGGAAATGGCTTCAATTTATGAGAACACTAATAAGACTTCACAACAGAAAATAATTTGTTTCAGAGTTCCTTGTGACTAGTGATATGGAACAAGTGATAGTGATTGGACTGGTTGCCCTTTAAACTTCATCTTTCCGTATAATCCTCAAGTCATCGAGGTAGCCCTACCCTAGCTGTCATTAGCGCTTAACGTATACATTGTCTGGTTCAGTCTCTGAGTATTAGAGACCCATCACATAAAAGCCCTGTGTATGTTACCACTGTGTCAACCATCTCACATCGAGGCTGACCAGAATAACCAATTGATGTTTGTTGGAGTACGTCTTCCGTGAAAGTCAATCATTTCATTTCAATATCCCTTGCTGCACACCAATACTCGCAAGTAACTGCGATGCAAATGTTAACTAAACATCCAAGTGAGAAGGTTTAATTGTGGCAAATTAGCTGATTTGGTGGGAAGCTTTCGATTGGAGTTAGCGGGTCGTCAGCGGTAACTCGCTGCTTTGTCGTCCGTTTAAAATAAACTAATTGACTGAATGCCATTGTAAAAGGCACTTGAGCAAACTAGAATAAGCTATTCTTATCAGTCCCGATGTGAGCTGATCGGCACAGTCGCACAGTGGCACGTCTTCCATGCAATCGGGTCCGGAGATGAACTCCGAAAGGGGATGGTGGATATGCATTGCTGATGCGCGTCAAATGTGAGTTTGGCGCTTCATAAATGTGCGACTAACTAACTGTATGAACTGAGGATTTTGCGCGAATTGTGAAACATATCAGTAATGGTTGTAAAACAGTGCACAACTAATTATCTTAGTACAGTTACAGATCATAATTTTGGAACGAACATTGATCACCACAGGCTTTTGGTGTTTTAGATAACAGATTAAAACCTATTATTTTTTGTATCATCAACCATTTCCTGATTGACTTAATAGGAGAACAAAAGCATAATGTTTGTTTGTTTTTTTGCCCAACGCATTTTCATGGCATATTTGATTTATGCATTCGATTTGGGTTTTTCTATCCCAAAGTATACAGTGTCTTTCTATTTGTTTGTCTTTGCATAATCATTCAAAGTTCGAACAACTTCCGATCAAATTGCTTTTCCTTCTTGAACACCTGAACCGATATTAGTAGTGCATGAGTTTCCAATGAGTCCTGCAAAAGTGTGACAGGGAAGTGGAGGCTGTCTTGAAAGAAAGGCATAACTAAAACATGTTCCCACCCCACAGGTTCACTCCGCCGGGTGCATTGTCGCCGGGGATGAGTTGTTCTTTGGATGTCACTTTTCTACCCAAACTGGATAGAGATTTATTTGGTCAAGTGAAGTTCCTATGCCCCACAGGTCCATTCAGTATTCCATTCAAGGCGACTACGAAAAAGTGTGTTGTAAGTTTTGTTGAACGTTTACTGGAGTTTGTGATTCCCCGATCGCTTCCTCTATACTTTATCATGCTATGTTAATTTCATTTAGTTGTGATTTGTATTAGCATTTTTGTATTTGTATAACTTGTGTGAGCATATACGCTTCCATTTCAGTTAAAAATGTACACGATTCGTCACGCAGAATGAAATAATAATAATAATAATTATAATAACGAAATATAACACCAAAGGTAAAGATTGTCGGTGATATTTGTTTCTTGTACAAAACGTTTGACGTAGTTCACTTGAAACCTGTTCCTTTCTGGTTAGGAGTCGGGCCAGGTAGGATACAGGCGAATTTCTATAAATTTTAATGCGAGGGGGTAGATGCCGAAATGCGGAGCATGTGGACGGATGGGAACGGCAAGACGATAGATCAGGGTGTACTGGATGAAGAGGGTCATCTAAAATCCTATAGACGACTGATCTCAGTGATCCGATTCTGGGTTAGAAAAGATTTATACTCCGCGGTTACGAGTCAATCTAGGTGCTCCACTTCCGTCAAACAGGTCAAACATTGCTCACCGTGTCGACGTACCCAAGTCCAACAGTGTTTTGAGACAAATCGTAGTTTGGTTGACCAAAGTGACTGCCATTTGAAAATATGACCAAAGCGCTGTAGACAGTCCATTTTCAAGTACGATCGCAGACATTCTGTGTTGACATAAGGTGAACAGAAAAAGTCGTTGAGGATCGGCTACTGCCATTTTACTTTCACCACACGAATTCGGCACCAGTGGTCGAGGGTTTCTACTACATACAATAGATAACTTTCGAATGCAGCAATTCAGGTGAAGAATGAAACAACATGTACATGCAGTTTCAAAGATATATCCGTGTTATCGTCAATAAAAAGCTGAATAAATATTTGAATATACTAACTGGCTATGCCTTTTAATAGAACTGTTTATTTCGTTTAAAGTCCAGATGAATAACCGAAAATCTCACCAAGCAGTCTCATTCTGTTTAATCTGTATGGGCTTTATTTGATCAATTACCAGTATGATTTCACACTCCACTGGGTCATTTCTATTCACGATGGAAACTTAAAGTATCCACAAGCGGTACCAGTGAACCAAAGGCCCAACTCATCTTAATGCCCATTTTCCTGTCTATAGAATTTGAAAAGAGTTTATAAGTTTGGCTCAATTTTCTCTATGCTCACAGTTCAGGTTTCAAAAGTCGGATGCTAGTCGCCTCTGCTGTCGCTAATGTCCGAAACAATGTTGCTCTGAAGGGATGTGGTGAAACTCGACAAATGGTTGTGAATGTCGGGAGCATGTAAACCGAGCCCCTGACTCTACCAGATGGGCAACAATTTAACTCGACAGTCTTGTCATGTGCGAACCAGCGCAAATAGTGGTCTTTAATACGGAGAGGTAAGCGCCTTGTCTTTCGACTTACATAGGTCACACCACGGCTTCATTTTGTTATGGCATCGGTTGTTTGGCGAAGTAAAGAGCACATCGGCATTCAAGGTNCAAGGTGAATTTCAACGTAGTAGATAAAACTACCGAGCGTGTTATTTGCGTTGCATTCGAGACTATGCATAGCACTTACCTTTCTAGCTTATAAGTATTTTACATTATAAAACTTCAACATTAATCATTCAAAAGATATTTATTTTATGCTAAATGTTGAATTCAGTACGATTAATGCACACTTTTCAGTGGTCTAATTCAAACGTAAAAACATCGCAATAACTCATGAGACACAGTTCCCTTATTTGTATTAGGTGTCCATCGATCAAACTTTGGTGGATTTTGGTTCCGTTGTAATTGGAGAGACGGTTCGACGCAGCATTCGATTAAGCAACACCGGGGCCAAAGGAGTACGATTCAGAGCATTTCGTGCACTGGATCTTCTAAGTGTGAGTAACCACTCGTCGCCTACAAATACTGTGGAGAACCAGGTTCGAGAAGAGATGCAGAGCGGTCAATCAAATCAACTGGCCTGTGAGGAGGTTTCAACCAAGACGGTAAATCATTCATGCATTACCTAAAATCGTTTTGGAATTTTGGTTTGAATAGCATAAGCGTTTTAACATACGCGTCATCGCATTGCAAATAACCGACTTAGAATGATTGCAATTACCTCTCATCCTGCTCGCGCAAACCACTTATAATGAAATAGTTTTTGATTAACTGGAAGACCATTTGTCCAATGGAGATTGCAACTGTCATTGTGGTTTGGGGTAACTGTTTACAACTAAGGAGGGTAATGAGTGGGTCAGTCCAGGCACACCACACTGTTAATTCGTCAATATATATACATGTGTATATATATTAACACCAATCTTTACAGATACGGCGCCAAAAATAACCATGGGTGAACGAAAAAATATAGGTACAAAAACGGGTATAATAAAACAGTCAACTTCGAGGAGTAACGATTTTTTGTTTGTTTACTGCACACCATTTTGAGTTGTTTTCCTTTTTGTTTATTTTTGGGATTCTAGACAGGAGGTGATGCATTTGCGCCACTGACTTCGGTTTTACAGGTATCTTATAGTTATCAGTCATGTTTTCTTAAAGTCACTTCACGATTTTGTTTGTGAAGGTCACTTCAACGATAATCACTTTCTTTGAAAGTATTTTATACCACACTCGTTCCTCGTTTAATGATCTCGCCTTTCATCTCTGTCATTGCACCGCACTCTAATGATGGATATTCTTACTTAAGTTCACAGTATGCTGGACCGGAAAGAGAGAGAGTCTTAGAGAAAACGCGCTCCGGCGAATAAAATATGCTCCCTCCCTGGGTGGTGCGTTCCAGCCCAAATAATTGGTGAGACACACAAGGGGGAATGGATTACATTCAAAGATGGAATAAATACAAGGACCATAGTTAAAGTCACATGCCCTCTGTCCGTTATTCAACTCGATCTGACGAAATTCGGGATCGAATTGAGGGCCCTGAGACATAAAGTCATTTCATAAATTATTTCTGAGCACACTATAGAAGGAATGTTACAAATGCGACAAATATTTCAGGGTAGGTTTAGAACCAGAATCCGAATCTTGATGTACTGAAAAATTAGATAACTGAGAGTAAAATTGTAGAATTTTTTACACTTTCCAGAGCAGATTAGGTCACATATATATACACATGTTGTGTATAAGCTGGATCATATACTCAAGCCCAAAGTCGTTCTAGACGATAAATTCCTGAAAATATATGGTGCAGTGGACAGGGTAAAACATACTGAAAGGAAGTTTTGCCGGAATTTACGAGACCTGGAACAGAGGGATTTGTCGTATATCACCATCGTCAAGTAGATCCAACCAATGGGAACAAATATGCATTGACTATGACCATAGGAACGGTGTGTCTGTCAGGCTCATAATGGACATGTTTAACTCGCCTAATCACACTATGAACTAACGTTTAAAAATCAATTTAGTACCAGTTAAGACTGATATGATAATTTAAACGCCACTGAACTGTTATGAACAGGTACAGACTACTTGAGATGTAAATGTCACCGGACTAAAAATGTTATTTCTCACAGTGACTTCATTGGTCAGTAATGTTCCAATGAAGGAAATGGTTGAGTATAATAAGGCGGAACATCGTCAAAGTAAAGGTATTGATACTGGTATCCCGACGGAGGACTTTATCAATTGATTTATTTTTGCACATTCAACGTGCCATTGGTGTTTTACGATAGCGTTTATTGATATACGAATGGAGTGGCGATGGCCCTTAACCGACCCCCATGTGTTTATGTATCTCTTATATGGTGATTTTGGCGAATACTGCTCGCCGCTGTCTCACTCAAGAATGCACACTCAACGTGAAATATATTGATGGTCTATTGTGTTTGTTAATGGGCATATTGATATCCATCCATTACTGGCAGCATTCAATGGCGCGTGTTTACAATATATTGTATCGCATTTTATCAAGATTTAGTAAAGTATACAGAGATTTTCAGTCAAAAGTAAATCTTGGTTGGAATACTGGCACGAGAAGAAAGAGAACAATGGGAACTCGCGAATCATCTACTGAGTGTCGATTTCAGAACAAAATTTCACTTCAACCCTCAGAATCCGGATAAAATAATGTATCAAGGGGTTTCGGTGCACGGGCGAGAGCGAGTCACTTGGGACACATCTTAGTTGCGTCGTTGTTTTCTTCAAAAAGCGCAACGTTTGGCACTTACAAAAGAAAAAAAACAAAGAGATTTACGGATCACTTTCATTCCAATTTTGGTGCACAGCTTGTGTTTCTTTTCTTGATTCATGATGAAGTGATTTCCTTGCGCTATTATATCTGTCAGCCGATGAGGATGCATATAAACATGGTTATAATCGTACAGTGTGATCAGTGTTTACAAGATAAGCACATACAATAGATGCGAAACGGAGGGGTTCGATATTTATACCCCGGATAGGGTTCGCAACTACTCCGTTCAGCCGAGTGGTTATGTTCAATTGTAAACTGTAGGTTAGCCCTTGTAGTAAAAAAAACGAACAGCCGTGATTTGCTTCCATGACCCGGTGTGATTATCTGCACCGCACGCGGGCTAGCAGTTAAGTATCCTGCAAATGCACTTGTTTTGAAATAATATTTTGAACTTGAGAACACGAAAATTAAATTCTGGAGAGATATGATTGCAGAGTAATTTTATCGAACATATGTGAACAAGGATACATATGGTTTGATGATATTTGTGTTCTTCCTTTGCATATACAAACTGATATTGCTAAAAGAATCCTTCTACCAATTCGGTTTTCAGCAATTAAATCAACCGAATGATCGACCCGAAAACACCTCCACAGAGTTGGACGGAGACGGTGAGTTCCCGTACGCCTGTGTGCTCGGGTGTGGAACGCAGGTGCAGTTATCACTGTGATAGCCTCTAGCCACAACAGAGAATACCGGAATTATTGTGACTAGTTTGCACTGAACATATTACTAGTAGAACATTAGTTAAAGTATCCACCCGTGTCTTTCGTAACGGAGTATATTTGGTCTCACGTGAGCGCAGTGTTTATGTGTGCATGAATGCGATTAATGGACAACCAAGTCTGATGAAATGAAAAACCGATAGGCTGAGTTTCGAACGTAGCAGTAGAAATCATGCAACTAATGTGCGATTCTGCATTACCTCATAAATGATAGACGGATAAACTCAGATGTTGTGCATCTCCAGTAAAACAAGCCGACTTGCGTGATTTAGTGCAATCGTGGGTAAAAGAAAAGTGTCAAAAATGTGTCATTAGTTGCCATTTATCACATATGGGAACACGTCTTTTGCAAAACGATTTCACATTTGATGGCCAGCACAAAGAAAAATAAATGAATTTTTTTCAGAAATACCAGTCCATGTTTATCGTAGTGAAACTTGTTTAGTTTTTCTTTATATTTTCCATTTGTTTATTGATAGACAATACGGACACTGGGATCAGTCCCGACGTGCTAAACGATGCCTTGGATAAAATCCAACTGGACGTCTCTCCCCAATTCACTCTCTGTGGTTCAACTGAAGGTTTTCTACAACCCTTTTCCACCACGTCGATGGAAATTGTTTGGAACCCAAAAATTCTCACGCCAATCTATTCAGACGACTCAAACAGCTTGTTGTCAGTTGAGACTGAATTGTTTTTGATTCAGTTCGATGATCCAATGGCGGAGACTATTCGTGTTCAGGCTCAAGGTCAGCCACGCGAGCTGCCCACATGGCTATCCACAGAAACATTGGAGATGGGAATTTGTTGGTTTGATCGTCTCTACCAGGACTGTTTTGCTGTACACAATCGGACCAATACCGCTTTAAAGGTCACATTCTATTTGAGTGATCAGATGGCAAATCACATGGAAGTTTTGCCCAAAACTGGTTTTGTTCAAGTAAGTTACGTACCCAGTTATTCGAACTTGCTGAGTGAAACCAGATTATAAATTTTAGTATGGTTAGTGCACGTGGTCCAGCTGAATTACCGCGATTAGCTGCAATAAACTGCTGTATTGATTGTTGCAATTTATCATCGTCATACCAACAACCTGTTATGACCCGATTTGAAATGAGTGGCCAGATGGTTTGTGAAGTTTCGCGAACTGTACAAACAATGGGATAGTTTGCAAAACCTATGTGCTCAGTGATTTGGCTGTCAACCGTGTTTCTTCGGGCAAGTGTTCTGAATCACAACTCGAGTTTTAATGACTCAAATCCCTTCCCTGATGGAATGAAAAAACTCAGTGTCGGTAGGGGAATAACACCAAATAGCTGAAGGGGTCATCGAAGCAAAGTAGTCTTCTTCATGGAAGTGCCTATTGCCATATGGTTGTTTGCGGTCTTCAACTGGACCACGGAAGCTCCCCTTTACACGTCGTTATCAATCAAAGAATAGTTATGTTTCTGACCCCATCGATATATCCTCACTCATAGAGATTCGATGCGTAAGATTGTATGATAATGCTCCACGGGGAGTTCTCGGGAACGGGCAAACTTCCCGTTTGGAGACGTTCACAATGCTCTGGCCAACAGCTCTTTAGTATACTGATTCTTGTTTCCATAGCAATGATGATGTTGCTGACGTATTTCTATTGATTCAATGACTCGTCTCCGTCCAAATGTAGTTGATCCGGTTAAGTTCCACAAGTTTCGGTAACATACGGAATGATCAAATGAATGCGTTTAGATGTCGCTGTGATTTTGACTAAAAGAAGAATTGAACTAAGAAAGAAATCTGGACACATCGTGCAGCTTGTTCTCTGAACGTCGTTCTGTTGAAACCAGTGTGTGCAAGTAGACTGATCCCATTTCATTGTATTCCATCCTATTATTCCGCCTGATAACATTTCACGCCTGGGGACCAGTGCAACACACCCACAAACAAAATGAAGAGGGAAAAGTAGATTAGAATGTAAGAGCATCTCAGTGTAGCACAAGTGATTTCCGGAAACAGCTGGCTTTATACCCTTAGGTAGATATTGCAACCGAAACATATGATAAAAAGGGGCAAGTTACAGTTATTGTGTCTATCCTTGTATCAGGGCAGGACAAGAATAATAAATAACCCCTTCTGCTCGGTTATTTAGGGTTTTTGTCGTTTTATAGGAATCACCTATGCAAACTGAAGCAACCGGGATTTTGGTATGAAGAAAATACTTTGCTTACTGTCTTCACGTCACTTGAAATTCGTTCTTTAACAACTGATGAGCGATCGATGGTGCTGGTGTGCGATATTGGAATGATCTTTAACTCTGACCGTTCAGATGTGATTCAGTCACCAGCACCACAGCTTATTTTCCAAGCTTCCACTTGGTTTCGTCCAAGACTTCCGTTGGTTCTCTTTAACATTTATACCTCCAGGAAGGACAACATGTCACTGGTTTCATGTTCACTGGTCAGATTTATGTTCACAGAAGTGCTACGAAGTCCTGGGAGTAAAGCCAATGCCTGCGCCTTTGGGGATGCCATGAGTAATACACAGTCGATGTAGCATTTGTCTGGAAGGGTGTTGGTGAGTTGGTCGCTGATGCTTCGCTCCAGGCTCGGTACAGATACATCTTTCATATTTGGATCCAAGGTACCTACCCTGGCTACACAATCGGCTTGACGGAAATATGGCCCTTGAAAATTGAGACATGTTCTGTGTGCAAAACGGAATTCTCCTTCTTATTTCTGATAAACGGATCGGAAGCTTGGCGTTCTTCAGTTGTTTGAATTTACAAATGCACCACGCGTTTTACCAGAGGGATGCTAATACACAGCGACGCCACATCCATGCTAGCCTATTGTTTGTCCTTGATATTGATGGGTTTTAGAAGTTTCACTCACTACTGGCTGTCCTTCAGGCTGTGAACACAGTTCGTCGGTTACGGGTTTCAGTATTTTCCCTAGCCATTAAACTACCTGCTGTCGGGGCGAACGCACCATTTTCCGCGAACAAACTGTACATCACTCTTATGGTTGTTCTCTGTTCTAATTCTTATCGGAGGAGGCGATGTAACAAGTTGAACAGCGTCAACATCAGAATGAGACTATCAAACACCAAGGTTCTATCAAAGTTCCCTCAGACTCTATGTCTAACGATAAGAGAAACTATTAAGTGGGGAACAATAGAGGATTTTGAGGATTTAAAAACGAGCAGATTGAGATGGATGTGTGGAAGAGGTTTACCCGAAAATCAACATGTATAGGATAAGTTGGGTTTCGACGAACTTTATCAGTGATAGAATGCAAGAATTGGTGTGAGTTCCATGAGGACTAGCCAATGAAACACCTAGTGGAAATACTGTGGACTGATTGTAGCCTGGGATGCAGTTTTCGGTGTTGGTGTGTTCTCCGAGCTGGAAGTGTCGTTCGTTCAGTTAAACTGATGATGTTGCCTAGTTTGGTTACGAAACGTCTGCGGACATTAGTTCCAGCTCGGAGAACACACCTACACCAAAACATCTAATGAAATTTCGGGATAGTCGTTTATCGGTTCTATCCAGAGACATTTTGAAATGGCGTCTTTTCAGGTATACATGTTATCTTTATTAGTGCTATCCGTAACTTAAGACATGTGGTCTGAAAGGCATTCTATTGGTGGTGCCATAAGGAGGCTTTAACTGTGCGGTGCTCCGTGGGTTATTTTAATACAACGCTCATATCGGCCATCCCGCACTTGACCTTGAAACAAGTGAAAATCCTGCCCCATTCGGTGCATTGCACAATAGAAACATCAGTATATTGCACCCTCGTCTCACTAACCCCACTAATGAAAAAAGGCTATAAAATAGAAAAGAATTTATTTTTTAAGATTATTATTCATAAGATGTGCCTGTAGTATGAGTCTGAAACTGAATCTGATTCCAATGCTCAGAACGTCAGGTAATGGCGGTCTCCCATCATGATAAATATTTTGAAATGTTTGCTTGGGAACGTCGGGGTGTAAACACAGCAAGTTTAATACGGGAACAAACAGAGGTTGTGTTGACGCTCCCGAATAGCCTGTGTCGTGGAATGTTGTGCTGCTGGATCGCCAGAATACGAGACTTAATAGCCTTACGCGACAAGTTTGTTTTACTGATGTTGGTTTTTGTGACAGTTCCACAAAATTTTCCCTTGAGATTGAATGTTGACTATGCACCTGTCCAGGATGCATGCCAGACATCAAGAATTTTGTTTTATTATCCCATGCGATTTATTCATCAAGCTGCAACAACACCAATAANCACCAATAAAACAGTCATTCTCTTTATTCCTCAAGGCCCAGAGTCGGCTCCTGGCACAGGTGAAATTCTTGCCACGTACATCACTGGAGAAAGATATCGGGTCGTCCAACCCAAAGGGCGGAACACCAATATCCGGTTTTATTCCGGACGAGGATCTGAAACCAGATTATGATCCTCACACGGGTGTGCTTCACGTACCAGTAAAGGCTTGTGTGGCTGGTCAAACATATATGTTACGTCTCGTGATGGCCGCGATTGTCACCTGTTCCGACCTTGAACTTAGCCCGCAACGAATCGATTTTGGAGTTGCTAATGTGACGGAGACGGTTACCGCACGCCTATCACTGATCAATCACAGTCTACTGCCACAAACATTTGGTATTGTCGATTCACCAGAGGTACGATAGTAAGGAAGACTGAACTTTCACACATGAAACAAATTCCGCTATTTTTGCACTATATATCTATGCATCAAGGTTTACAGGCACGGTTCCAAAATAATTACTGGGCGGAA